TAAATATTCCAAAAAATAATGTCAACTTCTTAAAAATAATAAAATTAAAAAAAAATTAAGTAAATTTGTTATTATAGCATGAGCTATTTAATTTGGTACTTTTTACTTTTAAAAATTTACTAATTTATTTTTGACAAACAAAATTTTTATTAATGAAAATGTCAAAAGTATATTAAAATGATATGGGAATCTACATTTGTTTTTCATAGTTTCAAACGGTATTTCCGATTACATAAAATGAAATTTTTGACCATTCAAATTGAGAAAAAAAATGTCAGTTGTCAAAAATTTATACTTGAGGTAATTGGAAATCTGCTGCGTCCGATTTGTGACACAATGTAAATTTTTTCGCAACTTTTCCTGTTTACACTTCATTTAATATCCTCCTGTCAGATCAAAGAAAGAAAAAGTTGGCGTGAAACCAGATAGATTTAAAAATATGTCAAGATTCTGATTAACACCGGTGTTTACACGATGACTTTTGCTATAATGGTTGACATACGTTTCATTCCCCTTGCTGAGAAAATTTGTTGTAAAAGTCTTGAATGACACTAAGTAGCTATGATTCAAGTATTCCAACTTCATTATTTACTTAGTCAACCGTACGAAATTTTAATATATACTCGAATTTTTTAATATATTTTGGCGTATTAGAACTTTTAAATGTACTGTAAAATAATAATACTATAAAAAATAAAAATATTCAATTTATTTTTCAATAATTTACAGTTTTATATAATTTTAATAACAAAACAATAATAAAAAAACAAAAATTTCAATAAATTTTAATTCTTAAGTTAAATTCAATTCGAATAAAGTTCCACATGGAGGCTTTAAATAATATTGTAGTAAATAAACTATCAAAAAAATTAATTTAAGACCAGTTTTGGGAGGTTTTTGTGTTATTTTTTTGTACCTACTTTTTTTTCTATTCTTTAAATAGCTTTTTTTGCTTTTGACATGAAAATTAACAAAATATTTTGTCATCTTATTGATCTTATTAATAGGTTATGTTCTTGTTTTTCCCTTTTATTTTCTTATAAAAATATTTTATAAAAATAATCAGAAACAATATAAAGAGAAACAAAAAAAAAGAACTAAATCAAAATTTTTTTCTCTAATTCGCTTTAAAAAGATGTTATGGGGGCCTATTTATTATTTAACTGCTCCGAGTGAGTGTTTTTATATTAAGCATACGAATTGAATAAAAAAAAACAGTGTAAGTATAAAAGATAAACATAAAACCTACACGTAAAAGTTGAATTCGAATAAAAATTCAATTTTTTTGTTAATAAAAACTCAGAAATTTCATTAGAAAACATCAATGTTGAAAATAAAAAGTTTGGTTTCTTTTCTTTGTGTTTTTTTTTCTTAAAATAAGTACAGAAGAGCCATGCTACTCAAACCGTGTCACTTTAAAAAGTAGTAGACGCAAGACAAGTAAAAAATATCACAAAAATAAATAAACATTTAAAGAAAAGCAAATAATAAAAAAAAAATAATACAACATTATTGTGGGTGGATGCTAAGGCTGGTAGTTAACATTATTATAAAAGTTAAAAAGAATAAAGAATCTGAAAGGAACGCTTGAAAAAAAAAACACAAGCACAAACAAATAAAAGAAAAATATTATACAATTTTATTGCTATGTTATTGTTGTTGTGACTGTCGTTGTATGGTTCTTGTTACCGCGCTAACTGCTGCTGCTGCTGTTGTTGTTGTTGTTATTGTTCTTTCATTATGCTTTATTACATTTTCAAATTAAACGCAAATGAAATATGCTAATTCACGCATAATTTCTTTTTTGACGTTTTTCTTTTTATATCATACATAAAGAGTTTCGACTGAAAACAAAAACAACCGATCCGAATGAATTTTGATTTTCTTCTCATTATTTAAAATAAAAATAAAAGATTAAAAAAAAATTAAAAATACGTGGGGTGTGGATTAACCATCATGTTTAAAACTTAGTGATTTTGAATGTTCCATTTTCTATATTTTTCTCTTTATTCTATCAATGACAGTTAAAATCAAATAAAAAAAAATTGTTATTTTTTTTGTTTTTATGTATAATAATTTAAAATATTATATATATTGAACATTATTGAAATAATTTAATTTATTATGAATTTTAAATTTTTATTAAGATGAAAAAAAGAAAATGAATTTTTAATAGGCGCAATATGCGTATATTTGCCAGATTAGCTTATAGCATTTGCGTCAAGACGCAGTAAAATATGTATCAGTTTAAAAATTGTGAAACGTCTTTAAGTTGTTGTTTACATATACGGCAAAATTTACGATTTAATCTGAGTCTGATAAAAGTGCTACAAGCAAGCCCTGTTAAATATCAGACGTTGTCTGGTGACAAATAATAATAATTGCTCTTTTCTTATAAGATTTACTGTCAGACTTTTAAAAAATAAAATGGTGATAATTGACTTTTTATGGAAGCTTCGAAAAACGATCAGCTAAATTTTGACATAAATCTAATGTGTAAACAGTCATCATTCTTTATCGTAGACTTAATATTAAATTTTTTCGTATATGTAAAGAGTACCAAAGTGACACACTGTCAAAACGGATGATCACATGTTTAATGTACGCGTTCTAATTATTAAAAGTAACTAAAACGCCGCCCTCTTTGATTTTATGTGATTTTAAAAATAAATTTGTTTTTATTGCTAAAATTTGGTTTGTGTATAAGATTAAATTTTCTGTATTCTCATATAAATTTTTTTTTTTAAACATATTATTAAATTTTTTGAAATTTATTATTTATTGTTTAATTTTAATAAAAATTGCTTTTTTACTTTGATCATAGCGAAAAATATCACTTTTAAGCTTTGATCTATTTAAAATAATCATGTATTTGATTCAATATGAGATAACAAATAAAAGAAAATTACTATATTTATGCAATAAGAACCAATTGTTTTACCATATGTACAATAAATAAATAACCAGATAAGCCTCTAAAATAAAGTGTCAACTTATTTGTGTTCAATTATGTATTGAATTTATTGTTTCACACATTTTTTTTTATTTATTTTTGCTCGACAACATTATACTACTTCTGGTCCACTATTTCAATATATAACTTTTGCACTTTATAATTTAACTTTTATGGAAAAAGAAATTAGAACAAATGATATTATCGAAGATAGGCAAAAGAAAAAAAAAATTTGTTTATTTTATATTTAGAAAATAGTAAAAAAAGAAAATTGCTATCATTCAATGATAGCAAAAACTGTTGCCAACCATATTTGTTTATATATTTTGCTTATTTTTTAAATAAATAAGGAAATTAATACAATCTACACGTATTTGCTTTAAATGAAAGCCTTAAATGATTTAATGTACACAAGTTTAACATCTTTAAAGTGATTCTATACGCATTTTCGTAAATATGGCTGATTAAATAAATTTTTATAATCACTCCTTTGAAAAGATAAAAATTGTGTATGAAAAGCATGAATTCAATTGAAAGTTCTTTATTTTATGGGTGGATGAGGAGAAAACAAAACCCAAAAAAAAAACAATTTTTTTTATATTAATTAACTGTACCAAAAAAGGATTGTACATAATAGCAGTATGATTTAGCGCCCCTATATCTATGCAATTTTATACTTGTTGCATGTATGAAAATGTAGATTGTTAAATTATCTATTATTTAATTAATTATTAAATATCTTATTTTGATAGCCATATAAAGTGTATTCCAATTTCACTTAAAATTTTTATTGAAATATTGTATAACATTGTATAAGTGTTGATCTTATCAATAATATAAATTAACAAACAAAATTTACAATCAAAATCAAACAGAATACATAACTCACTTTAAATACGTTGTGGTAACGATGCGTGAAATATAAAAACATATAATGACGCTAAGTACCTAAAGCCCTCAGTAGTATATCGTAATAAGTTGTTTACTGTGACTTCATTTGCGATTTATACGATGTAGATGTCGTTGCTTAACCAAAGCTAAGATTCAAATTGATATTTAAGAATTTGTTTTTTTTTTTGCAAATTTTATAGAAATTAAATTTTTTTGTTAATTCAAATGTCTTTTTAACAAAATTTTAATATTAAACAGATTCAGTAACATTTTACTAATTATTGTTGATCCTATTAAATCAAAGAAATCATTTTCTTTTTCAAAAACACCGAAACAGGTGGCATCTTTTGTTTTTTTTTATTCAAAATCATTTCAAAACAAAATTCTGTAAAATTATTGAAAATACTTTTCGATCTTTTTTCTTCTCAAAAAGTAACACAATTCTAACTTCTTTTTTCTAAAATTAATTATTTTGCAGTATCATTTACATAAATATGGTGATCAAATTGATTACCTCCATGTAAATAATTGACATTGACAGATATTTAATTAGAGAGAAACAAAAGACTTAAAAGAGAAACTTGAATAAGGTAAAAATTCTTAATAAGATATTTAAAAAAAACATCTCTTAAAGAAAGAACATTTTGAATGACATTAAAAAGAGAAAAACCAAAATGAAAGAAAAATAAAAGAGAGGCAACACAATTTTACAAAACAAAATAAATTTTAAAATTTACATTGTATTTATTGACTCAATATATTAGCATGCTTATACATTACAGTTGTATCTAAATTTGAAAAGGACATAAAATATCAATAGCTTGTTGTTGTTGTGTCAGAACTACACAGTAATAAACAGTGTTTTATAAAGATAATTAAAATAGTTAAATGGCAGTTAACAAAGTTAAATAAATTGTTTTCCTCTTGAAATATTCTAATATATATATAAGAATCTGTAAAAAATTAAAATATTTTGTTTACACAATTTATACTACCTACATACATACGTGCATCTATATATCTAGAAATTAAATTAAAGCGTATGTCTCCTTTAAAGCATTTTGTTTTGAAATGTAAAATTATAAACGAATGTCGCAAGATTATATTAATATCTATTCATGTAATATTTAATGTAACTGTTATTTTTTATATTTACCTGAATTACAGTATTTGGAAGCATATCTTCCCTGGGTCCTCGTAAAGAACCATTCTGCATTTCTAAAAATATACAATGAAAAAATTAAATTAAATAAATATTTTTTTTGTGAAATTATTAAAAATTTATAATTAATATCAACAATTAATTTTTAATATGAAATTTTTATAATAATAAATAACAAACTATATGTGAGGATTCTTTAATAGTAACGCTACAATAAAGATTAGTTATTGTATGAAAACATTCATTAAAGGGCCTTAACAGACATGCAATTTTTTGTTCGGCAAATGTTTGATTGCTTATTTGTTACAATTGTATGATAGCATACAATTAAGTAATCAAACAGTTTATGTGCGCAAATAATTTGTATTCAATTGCAAAACTAATAATTGTATGTCTACCAAAGCCCTTAAGCAATAAGACATTCAAATTAATTGCAAATGAATTCCCAGAATTGATTCAATAGGAGGCCGATTTTCGGGATCAATATTGCCCGAAAATTTTGTCCAACACTGTTTAACAAATTATTTTGACAATTTTGGGAATTGACATTACTTTCAAACAATATCATTTGAATTAAGTTTTTGCAAAAAACTAGTAACTGGTTACATTTTTAAATAACATAATTTCACAACTGTTTTAAATACATAAACTAAATTTTGTCCGAATACTAATTGATAGAGATAGAGATTTTGTTGAGTGTGATAGAGATTTTGTTGAATTTTAAGCTTGCAAAGTCTGCAGCAGAAAAAAAAAGTATAAACGTATATGAAAATTCTTTTATATTATTATGATGCCTCAAATATTATACGAGGATACAATTTTTAAAATTTATTTTCTATTTTCTGACATACATCTCCCCCCCCTCCTTTTTTTTTATTTTTAGTTTTTATAACACTCTTTTACATAAAGAATGCAAGTTAATTGTTTTATTTCAGTTTTATCATTCCAATTCTTAAATAGCAAAATAACAAGTGTGTGTAAATTATTTCAAAACTCTATCACTTTCTAAGTGTATAACAAAAACATTTACAACGCCAATATAAAAGTTTGTATAATAAAAATGAAAAAGGAAATGCAAAAACAAGAAAAATAGAAAAAAAATTGAAACTAAATTTATTTTGTACAAAATGGATTTCCGTAAAATGCAAAACGAATATACTGTTATACATACTGTTATACATATATAGCATATACGAAAATGAGTATGAAAATTGTGTATGTGACATGGTATGCTGTTAAACATTGATTTTTTTACAATGATATCGGCTTTAAAATTCTTTTGTTATTACTTATGCTCTTTTAAAAATTCTCTTATATTAGTATAATATTATACTCGTACATAATTAAATTGGAAAATATGTTATTCAAAAGGCATCAATATATAAAAATATAATAAATAAAAAGTAATAAAATATCATACAGTTATAGTAGGTAAATTCAAGTTGCATACAATTTCTTATAAATAAAGGTACAATATAATAGAAATAAATCCGTAAAGTTTACTGGTTTTACTTATTATATGGTTTTTTACTGTCTCGCTTACTATTTATGAGTAGTATACACATTTTGTTTTCGCATTTACATATATTTGTGTATGTGACAGCTTATATTAATACAGATGTAGCTCATATAACATATTGTGGAAATTGCATTCTAATATTCATATGGTCCAGTTCATTGTACTATACTACATGTATGTGTATAACGTTACATCTATAATTTCATACCCATTCCTATTGAATTTCAATATTTTGCAACATAATATGAAAATATTAACCTTATTAATGTAAAATTGTAAAAAAAACTGAAGACATATATGTAAAATATTTTCGGTAAGTTGGAATTCTTCAAATAAAAATCCAATAATTTTTTGTTTTCTTAAAAATTAATAAAATATTAAAAAGAATATGCTGAAGAATATTTTTTAATGAAAACTTCTAAATAAGGATAACAATCGGAAATTGTTGTTCTTAGAGTTGCTCTCTAAGTAGTCTTCTAAAATAAACAAAAAGAAATTATGAAAACAATTACGACTTTTTTAATTCAATAGTTTTGTTTTTAAAAAAACCAACCATTTAACGGTAAATAATTAAAAACTCCACATATTAAGAATGAAAATTTTCGGGTAAAATACAAAAAGTTTCTCTATAAATTTTCAATTTTAACTGAGAATGTACTGAAAATATGTAAATTATATTCACAATTGTAAAATATTCCATAGAACAAATAATAACAAAGGTAAATCTGCTGTTTGGTGTTGATAAGTATTTTATGAAAATGATCATTAGACCTAGGTGACACTGGAAGGGTGCAAAGTAATATAAACCAAAAATGAGCCTCATATACCCTTTCTTAACGCTCAATAGAGCGCAAATGAACTTCTGTTGTGTAAACTGTAGCTAACAGTGAAAGAAAGATGATTAACAGAAACGAGGGCATCTGTCTTACCTTGTCTGATAGGGGATTGATCATTAGACCTAGGTGACGCTGGAAGGGTGCAAAGTCAGGAAAGTAATATAAACCAAAAATGAGCCTCATATACCCTTTCTTAACGCTCAATAGAGCGCAAATGAACTACTGTTGTGTAAACCGTACTTAACAGTGAAAGAAAAATGATCAGCATAAACGAGGGCATCTGTCTTATCTTGTCTGAGAGGAGATTGATAGTGATTGGTTTCGATTTTATCTATGGAAATATGAACTGATTAATATGATTAGTTATCGTTTGAAAAGCTGCGTAATTGCGAAGAAATTTCCCAAATAAAAAATTCAAATATTTTAAATGAAAATTTGCACTAATTTTTACTGTGATTACCTTCATTTGCAATGATTACGAACTTTGATCCTATCATTTTTTACTTATGTAGTATAAGTAGAAATCTTAAGAATACCTTTATGAGTAAGGCACTATAACTGAATTTTATTCTTATTTCAATTTTGATTAACCCCAATTATATAGTATGAATTTTTAGTGTATCAATTCACTGTTCCCACACCAATGAAATGCTATCTATCTACTCACAAATATTTCCTTTATAAATACATATATAATATTACCATTTCTTTCTACAATACGCTGCAGAAGATTTACAAAAAAATATTAATGTCAGAAAAAATTTGTCAATTTAAAATTTCAAATATAAAAAAAAACCATAAACAATTAATCAAAAACAAAATTTTTTTCCCAAATTTAGAATATTAAGTGTATATAACAGATATGTACATATGCACATGTAGATGATTGTAAGTTGAAAATATTTAACCGCAATTTATTTAAATTTAATATTTTTCTAATTTGCAAAAAGGTTAAGAAGTCTTAAAATTATTTTAATAAAAATTTCATGCTTATAATATAAAAACTCTGTGGTATTGACATACGTACACATTATATCGAATCTTATATAATATAGTATATACACCCATCATATACAAATGCAAACCAAATTATATTGATATTATATTGTAGTATAGAATTATTCTCTTATACTCGTATATAATGTAGCACAATATGTTATGTGAAGAAAAAATTTTCAAATATTTATTGACATATTTTGCATGTTTAGTGTATGCTTGGTATGTGTATAAGGCATATTGAAATCATCGCTGGTACAAGTTATATATCACCGATAACATACAATATGCATTAATATAATAATAAAATTATATTATACTATTTATTTATTTTATAATATTATAAAACCTGTATTTTTATAAAAATTTTGTAAAATAAATAAGTATGTACCAATTTTTTGTGCATATGCACATTCTATGTTTAATCCTGTAAGTTAAGAAAATATTATATGAAAAACCTGTTATAATATTACAAGTGCAAAGAGATACACATGTGTAGTATTATATAAATATGTATATGTATATATAACATAATTATCGTAATGATGATAATAATTTTATTGATGATAAAGATGATGATGTTGATTATGATTATATTACTTGTTACCTGTTAGTTTAGAAAATTAAATATACTAAGGAAATAAATTTATAACAATATGTTTTCATGCATATTTGTGCCAATATTATTCCACTTTTATATATCTAATAACAAGATATTTGTATTTACATATATCATTAATTCAAATGAATATTGTGATAATTGCAGAATTGTCATTTTCCAATTAGTAATGTTATACAGAATTTCGTTTTGTTATAATATATACTTTTTAGTTTGTTAGAGATAAGAATGAAACATATGTGAACTATATGTGATACACACGATACCCTATATTCAATTAAAGGGGTTCTGTGTATAACAGTGAAAAATTGACTGTATAACAGTAAAAAATTGGGTGTATAACAGTAAAAAATTGAGTGTATAACAGTAAAAAATTTAGTGTATAACAATAAAAATTGAGATTATAAAAAAAATTTGAAATTTTCTATAAGAGATGCTTAAATATTGTAAAAATAAAATCCCCACTAACCGATTTGTAATATTAGTGCGTCGATTTTTTTAGTCAATTAACATTGTGTAGAAGTTTTGTAAATTAACTGTTCTAATTTATATTATACAATATACATACCGGATTAATAAAAAAATTCTTGAATAAACTCAGAAATTTTTATAATTTAAACTTTTATAGTTCTATTTGACAAGATCAGATTGACAAATTTTAGACATCAATCAAACTGTTATACCAAAAAATACGAAAATTAAGTATGTATGTAGTTCAAGAAAATACTTAATTATACTTAATGTATATATGTTGGTACACTAAAACTATTAATTATTTTATTTCTACTGAAAAATTATATTTCAGCAGTAACGACATTCTTCTTCTATAGCCCGTGTACTATTTATTTGTAATTACAAATTTGATTGATGACAATTTCCATGAATCATGTATAAATATGTATTGGTATGCAAAAAACATAAAAAATATCCACACATACATACATAGCTTCTTTTAAACAAAAAAATATATTGAAATTTCATTATAACAGTTATTATTTAAAGACATTATTTCAGTCAGGATGTTCGTTTTTATGTAACCATTTACAGTAAATAGTTGTGACATTTAATTGGAAAAGGAAAAAA